GGCCTGCCCTTACTTGTTTTTGATAAAACATTCTTCTAGGTTGTATAACTCTGGTCTGTCCACTTGCTGTACAGAGGTAACTAACTCGTGGTTGCTGTGAAGCTGAACACTGTGACACTGATGTGTCAAATGCAAGAATAGTTACCCATGGTGGATGGTGTTTGGTGGAGCTCCCCGATTAAAACAAGCTTGGAAGCAGGAGTGGTATCCACTTCCATAATAGCTTGCCTCTGGAAACCCTATAAACCTGGAGAAAGGAAGAAAGTTATATTGCTGCCTAGGTCTTTTATTCATAGGGTCATTGTGAGTCGCCTCTGACTCGACAGCACTTAACAACAACATTACTACTACTACTACTATCATCATCATCATCATCTTTCTGTTTTTTGAACATGGCTGTGCTGAAAGAGGGTCAGAGCGACCATGAAGCTGAGTTCTGAGAGCTGCTGTACCTCTGAACTCCCCACTTGCCCAGCAGCCCTACCTGCTGCCCTCACCCTCCCACACTAGGTGCTCAGAATCCTTCAAACCAAGTGCGAACTGAACTCCATGTGGAGTTATCCTCAGCGTGCCTCTCCCGGACTTGCACAGTGGACACTCCTGATCTCTGGAAGTCATCTCAGGAATGTCCTGAGAGCACTCCACACAGATGAGGCTGTGCCCACACACTCGTCCACCTGGGGCTCCGCTCAGAAGTAGACCCTCCCATATCTTCCTAGTAGGACAGTCGCCCCTGCCCGTCTGCCACGCAATATGCAGGGCTGTGCTGTACCCTCTGTGCCTCCACTCCCTGGGAGTCTTCTTGAGGCCCCTCCTCCAACGTTAAGGTCAAGGCGGCAACATGTCTCTCTGTTCACACTCCCTCAGCATGCTCCCATCCCCTCCATGGAAATAGCTCCTGCCCTTGTGAAGAGTCAGCACCCCAAGTTGTCCTGGTCCCCCTAGTGGTATCGCTTAGTATCAGGGAGTCACCTTGTTTCTGGTTAAAATCACTTCTTTTGCTCCCGGAGCTGGTCTCGATCCACCCCCAGAACAGTCTCAGGGCTGGGACTTGGCGCAGGTGTGAGGCTGAGGACCTGCCCCACCAGATTGCTTGCTAGAGGTAAGGGATTGTGCTGCCAGTGCAAAGGTATGCAGTTCGAATCTGCCAGATGCTCCATGAGAGAAAAATGGACAGTCTCCTCCCGTGTGATTTACTGCCTCAGAAAACCCACTGGAGGGTCAACTATGAGTCGGTTCAGACTCGAAGGTACACAAAGTCCACCCACCTGTACTCGGGAAGGGAAGGGGACATGGGGAGCCAAATAAGAAGACAGGGCCAGGCTGGGCAAGGGTGCCCCCTGCTGACTGCTAAGTGAAGAGACTGTACTGTTTCTGTGTTTGGTTCTCTATTGTGTCCTTTTGTCCAGTGGCCATGATTAAATGTCAGTGGGGCCAGCCTCTCTGCAGGCACTGAGACCAGTAGATGGAGATGAAAGTGACAGAGGAAACCACATTTCAGTGGAGAAGAGTGACATCCACAGAGTCTTAGGCAGACGGTGGAAAAAGAAGAGTTGTAATTGGCCAATGGAGGTGGCTTTCCTTGCAGGGAGACCTGACTCTCTGGATCAAGGACTCCAGGGAGGTGATAGCCTGAATCCAGGGCCTGTGTGCTGGCTGACCCCTCGCTGGCTATGTGAGCACCCTTCTCCACGGTTGCTTCTTTATCTGTCTAACAGAGACACTGGTGGAACGTGTCCTCACACATTCTGGGAGAGATGACAGTCACCTGCCATGCACCCTGACGAATGTTGCTGAGGGTGGAGGGATGAGGCAAGGAGCCTTCTCACAGGCAAAGAGTTTGTTTTCCAAAAGTGTCTTCAGCCCTTCCGCAATCCCTGGGCCCCTCTCTCTTCCCTAGGACAGTCCCTGTCTGATGTCTGTGACTGTGGTCTCATTTCTGTGATGTGATTTCTACAAGCATAGCTTCTCCTGTTGTAACATTTCAAAGAAACAGAATCATATAGTGTGTGCTATATGTCATTGATATGTGTCGTTGAATATACATGTGATTTAGGCTGAGTTCCTGAGTAGTATTTTGTTGTATTCCAAATATATTCCAGCTTGTTTACCCAGTGGATGGACGCCGGGGCAGTTGCAACCTTTTGATTATTTTACATAAACCTACTAAGTATATTCTTATATGACATTTTGGAGTGGAGAATATATTTTATTTTTGGAGGATAAAGACCTATGAGTAGATTCCTGAGTCATGAAATAGAAGTATATTAGTATTTTAAAAGCTACTAAGCAATTCTTTAAAATTGGTTATTCCATTTCATACACACCCAAAATAACACATAAGGGTTCTATCTATTCCACATTCTTGCCAGCGTTTAGTCATTTCAGTACTGTTATTTTAAGCATTGATTGTGAAATGATATCCAGGATGGTTGTGAAATTGTCATTTCCTGATATCTGGTAAGACTAAACAATTCTCATGTGCTTATTGGCTCTTTCTTTCTTAAGAGACAAATGTCTTTTCTAACACTTTGTCCACATTTTTATTAGGTGTTGCTTTTCACTGCTGATTTTTGAGAATTCCTTGGGCAGGACATAGGTTCTTTGTCAACATGATATATGTTCTAACAGTGTTTTGACAAATGTGAATTTTCAATCTAATTTTTCCTTTTACACCCTGTCTCCTTTTGTGTCCTGCCTACCTAAGAAATATTTGTCTTCCATTATGCTGTGACTCAGTTCTCTACATTTTCTTCTGAGCATCATAGTTTTAGCTTTAGGCTTATTTTTCTATGTCTATCAAGTTTGCATCTCAACATCAAGAAAATAAAAATCCTCACCAGAAGGCCAATAGGCAGCATCATGATAGCTGGAAAAAGGATTGAAATTGTTAATGATTTCATCTTGTTGGATCTACAATCAACACCCCTGGTAGCAGAAGTCAGGAAATCAAAAGACAACTTCCATTGGGGAAAATCTGCTGTCAAGGATTTCGGAGTGCTAATGAGCAACGATGTCAGTCTAGAAACTAATCGTGCTCTCTCAAAATAAGGATGACAGAATGGTCCCGATCAATAGCTAATTTTTCAAATGCAAATTACCAATTGTTTCTTTTGAAGTGCCTCTGGGTAGATGTAAACCTTCAGTCTTTCAGTTAGCAGCCAGACATGTTAACTGCTTGCACTCAAGGGCCTACCCATGATCCTGAAGGATTGTTAGTTGTTGTTTGTTGTTAGCTGCCATTCAGTCAAGTACCACTCATAGAGACCCATGAAAACAGACCTGAGCCCTGGCCTATCCTGTGCCATCCTCATCATCTCCAACACTCGTGAGTCCATTGCTGCTGTCCCTGTGTCATTCCACCTCATTGACAGTTGTCCTCATTGACCTTCCTACTGTGACCCTTCACCTTTCTAAGCATGATGTCCCTTTCCAACAAATATCCCTTTCTAACAACATGTCCAAAGTGTGAGAAGAAGTTTCACCTTCCTTGCCTCTAAGGAGCACTCTGCCGCACTTTCTCCAAGACGTATCTATTTGTTCTTTTGACAAATTAGGAATAATTATAAATATAGAAATTGATTATAT